GGAGAGAGCGAGTTTGGCGACTCTCACAGCAAACTAATTTTGTTTGGTCAAACTGCGGCAAATTCGGTGTTGTCATATACAAAAATTTTAGATAATTGTTGTTATACACAAAAATTGCCGTGATACCGAAAGCTAGGGAACTGAATATATGCTGTAGAAGCTTCAAAGATTGGGGCACAGTTAATTGCCTATACGATATCATAAAAATATATTTATTGTGCGCGTTATGTACATCTGAAATTTTCATTTCGTGTTGGCAATAGCCATGAAAACCATAATGAACGTGCAACCCTGTGCCAAACTCGACATAACCACCGCCGAGCAAACTAAGCAGCCGCCATTTAATTTGGCAAACAAAAGTTTGTCTGCATAACACCGACCTAAGTGACCGCTGCAAGACATTGTCTGTTATAAGCAGGCATGGGCAGAGAGTTAGCAGGTGCTAAAAGAGCGTAAGCGTCGCGTGTACGTATACAAGCGAGAGCGCAGCGATGAGAACACGACAGCATGCAAAATGAATTAGGCACACTAACACACTCTCACTTTAAGCTCACGCTTGTTTGTGGTAGTGCCCACCTCTGGTTATAAGTCTTTGATAGGAGTACACCTGCATGACATTGTTACCAGTGTCATTGTCAGCTATATGTCGTTTAGGATTCATAGCAAGTGAAGTGACAATGTCACCGGTGACCATTTTCGCTACTGGGATGGTATGCAAACTCAGTGTTGTCATTTTAGCTGTTTTCCGGCTAGATTTAGCCATTTGCGATAGCAAGCAGCCGGAGAAATTTCGGTTTAGCCGGCAGCCGATTTGTTAGCCGTTCTGTGAGAAAAAATAGCCGTTTTAAGCCGATTATGCTATTTGTCTTGTTTTCCTAAAATTCAAATATGTATATTTGTTTCCATTTTTGACAAAGCGATCCAAAATCTGTTAGAAATGGCTACTAGACTTATCGCGGAGAAAATTTGCATATCCGGCAGGGTTGTATAAAAATGGACCGATTTCGCTTATTTTTTATATAGAAGGCCGTAGCGGAGATTTTCTTCATAAAATGTGTGTTATCAATGTCTTAAATTTAAGTGTGAACTTTTATTCGCAAACTTAGAAAATAACAAATTGTTCCACTGTTTGCTTAACACGCGTTTGTGTTTGGATATATGTAGTTCCAACACATTAAAGAAATAGTACAGTTATTGTCTCCCCAGATAGCGCATATTCAATTATGTCTTAATTACAAAACATCATTGTTGTCCACGTATTAAGGTTTAAGGTAAGGGAAAAATTGATATATACAAGCAATATGTACATACACATATGTATTTTTTAAACACACTTTTTTTGCTGAAAACTTATTTAAATTCCAAAAACCAAAGACCAACTTGAATTAAAAGAACCAACACTGAAATGTGTTAAAATGAAAATAAAAGAGCACAAATTTCTATGTAAAGACAATATGGGAAGACAATAAGTTTGTTCGTCGAAAATCCACCGATAATTATCACTCAAAATATCAGATAGTAGATTAAAAAAAAATTCTCCCAAATTCTCCCTCAAATTAACTAAATTAATTAAGCAGACAAGTATTTACTTAAAATTTTCAATTTAAAGTCGCTCAAGTTTGTAAATTTTTAAATTTAACGAACTTGTTTATTTAAATTATTGTCGAAAAAAATTCAACCATGTGCCACAATCATATGTATGTTTTTCCCAATTGCAAATTCTCACCGGCAAAATTTTTTCCAGCTTGAATTTGCAACTTCTCTTCAAGAACTAGTAGTGGGGTACATGAAATGTCGCAAAGTTGTTGCAAATGTCGCATTTGTCGAAAAATTTGCCACCTTGCGACACAGCTGATTACTTTTGTATGGAGATTTCTGGCAACAAAATTGCGACATTGCTATAGTATTTTAGCTGTTTCTCTTCAAATACTTCAAGAAAAAGCATATCAGTTAAGGCTGCTTCGAAATTTCATTTTAAAAACTTTTCCTTTTCTCTAACGCGCGGTATTTTTTAAAATTTTTACAAGCTGGCACTGCATACATACTACAATAAATATTTTCTCTTTAACATGTATCAAAATTTGTACTACGGGAAAAATTTGAGTATCTCGCGAAATGAGAGAAAAAATAAAGTATCTTCCGAAAATTTGCACAAACACGTATCACTTTTGAAGTATATGGATAAAAACGGCAAGTTTCATGAACAGCTGATAGATTGTTTATTCGCAGCAAATTCCTAATAAAACAATATATTTTATATTTAAATAGGTTTATTTTGTGAAATTCAACAATAAAAACCCACAAACAGTTTCCTTATTAGTTTAAATTTCATTCAGCAACAAGCGATCAGCTGTTTTTCGTACTGGCAAATTCTTACAAGTAAAAATTTATCCACTAAAATCCAGTATAAACTTGCAACTTTAACTGTTAATTTTCGCTCCCTCAATTTCGCCTACTTTGCAAGTTTTTGCGTACGAAAACGCCAAAACATGAAAATTCGTAAAAACTTTTACTGGATTTTACTGGAAACGAGTAAACAAACGCAACTATTCTCTGGTATTATTAACATTACATATGTGCTTCCAGGGTATCCAGATTGTTTAAAAAAGCGCAATTTCTGAAAAAAAATCGCCAAAAATCGCCAATTTTTTTTAAATAAAATTCATAAAATCGATTTATCAAATCTTTTATTTTAAAAATGAGATCTTGTTGTAATAAAGTATTTAAAACCAATAACGAATATAACACCTTCAGAGGGTAATAATAAATAACACAACACTTATATAATAGTGATGTACAAACAATTTTCTTTAAAAATACGCATATTTTTTTTTTTTTAATATTTGTTTCATCACATTTTGCAATAGGACTGCGCAATTATTAAATTTATTATAACTCATATTAATTGATTAATCGCACAATCGGCTTTTAAGAGCTCGGCGCTAAAAATTAAATAAAAACCTATAATGATCCGAGATCAGCTATTTCCACAATTTCTTCAAAATCACCTAGTGTCTGAATCATTTACATTTCTGTTGTTGTCATATATTGAGCTTTTCCACCTTGATGACATACTGTTTGATATTGGAAACGTTTTGCAGCCGAAACTATTCGCCTTAATATAACACTTTATTTGAACTATTGAATTAAGGCTTTCCAACCTCATCCTATTTCGAATCTTAGTTTTTGTTGAATTCATTACGGAAAAAACGCGCTCAACAAAAGCATAATAAAGGATAAAAACATGAATTTACTTATGTATATTTCCAAACATTTTATTGCCTGTTGCGGTTTTCACTCCGTAAGCAATTATCCAAAATTATTCAAAATCGGATGGAATAGTTCTGAGAAAAGTTATTCCATAGGAAAGTTAAAAGATTTAAGCTGCTTTTCTTTCCTTCAAAATCGAATAGTGAATTTGCAGGTCCCTGAAACTCGTGATTCACACACTTTTCTGGAGACAAAATCAAAGCTTTTTTAAAAGTATCTAATTGACTAGGTAATCGTTTCAAAAGTTTTTTTAAAAAAAGGTGATTAAATATTTTTGACAGTCTTTTAATATGCATCTTAAGTCAAGTTTATCACGCAGTTTATTAGCCTCTTGTGTAAAATTATCGTGGAAAACTAAGTTTTGTATATTTTTATAATTGGAAAAAAATTAATTTGAAGGGAAAAAATCGCCAAAAATCGCCAGTGGCGATTTCCTAAATTTTTACGCGCAAATATCCAAGAAAAATAGCCAAATTGGCGCGAAATCGCCAAATATGGACACTCTGTGTGCTTCTACCTTACAACGGGGATGGAATTTCAAAATGTGTCTAGTGGTTTTCAAAAATAATGCCGAAAAGATGCGCCACGAAATTAAAATTTCTTTGTTTAAGGCCTTTGAAGAGCAATATATTTTTAGAAAGAGTATTTTTAAAATACACTGAGGTAATATAATAATTATTAATTAATTAAATTAATACAGTAAATCACTTTGATGAAAGATTCCTTAGACATATAATAATACACATATATTATGGTTTGGCCGAGCTTCTGCACCGATTTGTGACGTTGATTTTATATACATTTCAAACTTTGTATAAAAATTATAAAAATCCGGCAGGTTGTCGCAACAACGAAGTTTCTATTCAGAATTTTTAGAGAGATTCCTAGCTTACAATTTTACGCGTTTGTTTCATATAAAGTGTGTTCGAAAGTTTTTTAAATGGATGCAAATATGTATATGACACCGCTAGCAAAAAAAATATCAAAAATCAATTGAATTTATTAGAAACTATAAACCTGCAAACAAAGAACCTTTCTCAAAATTCTGAATTAAAAGATGTTGTTGCGAAAACTTGCATTTTGTGTTGCGTATTTCCAATAGAATTCAGCGTTTTGTTAAGAGCTGCGAAACAATATTTCTCACGGCCTTTATTTTAATTTTTTAATGCTTTTAATTTTCACTGTTTGTATTTTTTAATCTATAATGCAGTATGATTTTATATTATATCATCATGCCAAGTTTCTATAATTTATGATTGTGTCAAAACAGGATGGATTGTGCCAAAAGTGCCTTTGAGAATTTAAGCGCCAAAAATGCCATTATTGTGCACACTATTCCATCACTGCCTTACAACCAGCACCACAACACAACTTGTTGGGATGGAATTCTCCAGGCGAACCCAACATGTTCGCTCCAGCCAGACAGCGAGTGCTGCCACATCTACACTTCCTTAATATCATTCACAGGCACAATTTTAATTAAAAATAAACTAAGCATAAACTTTCATTTATTCTACCAATCAAACAATTGTTTTCCTAGTTTTTCAAAACTCCAACTATTCGCATACTCGTTCTCCTCAATTTTATTGCATCCTGCAAAAAAACAAACAAAAAGCCAACATCTCATTACACTCATTTAATAGTACCCAGCTGGCAGCATCTTCCTACATAATTTCGTTTTGCCGGCTTGCAACCGCAACGCATTTTTGTATTCAATTCGAACTGAGAGCTTGAAGTAGACGAATGTGTTTTCGCGCATAGTCGACCGCGTATCAACGGGAAACACAATAACAAACGGTGTGCGTGAGTGTGAGTGTGTTTGTATACATGCATGTGTCGACCAGCGGCCGCAAATGTAACAAAATAAAAGCAAAGAAATACAAAAAAAAAAAACTAAAAACAAGTTTGCAAAGGTTAAACGAAAAAGAATTAAAGTAAATAGATAATCTAAGAAAAGTGCAATGCAATTATTTAGCTGCTTTTTATTGAATTGCTTTTAAAATATTTACTGCATTCTGAATTTTTGGAGTAACAAGCACGATTACATGAACTGCCAACTTCCAAAAGGTGCAAAAAATTATAAGAAGTGCAAGTGTGTGACAAAGTGAAACGCTAAAAGCAAGAATTTGAGTGCTGCAAGCTGAAAAGGTGCGAAGCAAAGTATCGCAAAAGTATTGTGCTGTGCGAGTGTGTGAGTGCAAAAGCAACAGGAGCCGCCATACAACAGAGAGAAAAAAGAAACAAACATAAAGTGTGGAATTTATAGGCTTTAAAAACCACTGATCCTAAAGAGGCATTGCGTGAAAAGCAGTCAGTTCGAAGTAAACACGATTGCAAGTATTTTGTTTTAAAATTTGTATACCCTTCATAATAACAAATAAGTGGTAAATGCATAACAAAGCGCCAAGAGGAAAGAAATTTACGTTGTGGCGCAAAGAAACTTCGAAAGGTAAAAAACTAGCTGCAAAATAATCTCGTTTGTTTGCCGCTCTTGGTCTGCCGTCCTTGTCACAAATGCTTAGCTATTCCAAGGCATAGCTACTAGCTTTTAAGTTTACTCCTTTCAATCGCAGCGGAACATTTTTTCTTGTTTTTTTGCATTTTTTCAAAGTTCGTATGCATTTACTTTATATTTTTTGATGCCTAGAAAAAATTCGAGTTTCACTCTCTCAGTTTGTTTGCTTCTGCCATTCATATTCATGTATGTGTTTATGTGTGCAACTTTTTTTATCAGCGTGCCGTGGAATTCCGCTCTGCACATATAAAACCGTCACACCCTCTCCGTCCTTATCGCACGCACGCCTAAACAGCGCTTAAACGATCAGTTCAGCTCACGTTGACGTCCTTTTCGCGGTGGTGTTCGGTTCCGGAGCGGTTTTGCCAGCGCAAAATACTTCAAAACATACATACATATGTATGTACATCAGGTAACAAGATCAGTGAAAATGGCATAGGAAATTTCTGACTGAGTTGAAATTTTTTTCGTACTGTTAACTGCTAAACATCAAAAGTTGTTTGTAGCATGTTCGTCCGAATGTGGGTTGGTTGGTTGGTTGTATACTCAAGCGATCGCTAGTTGTAGGTTTTAAAGCTCAGATAGTCAAGACTTAACTTACCGTAAGAAATCGTCTAGGATTGCTTAATGCATCAACTTAAGCCAGAAATGAAAATATTTTGTTTTTCTATTTTCTTTTTCGGGTTGGCTTTCCGAAACGGGACCATTCGATATTTCAGCGAAAGTAAAAGGAATTTCGTCATGAAACTTGGTGAGGATGTTGGGGGAGGCCTTCTCTATCTGAATTGATCACTCTCACAATGTAGTTACTAATAGTAGGTTTGTTCCACAAGCTTCCCGAAGTAACTTCGAGTTACACATACGTGTTCCTCCAGTAAGTTTTTGAGTTTCCTTGATATACGCTAACAATTTGAACTTTGTTCGAGTTTTTCTACAAGTAGCTTGTGCAACAAACCTAGTATTTAAGCAATTTGTTGCTAAATTATCTCTACATCTACCACTAAATTTTTATACAAAATTCCACTTATCACGTATATTTTGTGTGATATACTACTATATTTGCAATGTTCACGTGCTCACATAGTACTTTTGATATATATTATTAATTAATTACTTAAGTAAAGTGCGTTTATAAATGTGTTTACAAATTTTAGCATTTTTCAAAAACAGCAATAACAATGACAGTAAGAGCAAATGTGTGCTGCCATACGTAACACCACAATTAAGGGTTTTTATTAAAGTGCGGCCAAGGAAAAAAGGAGTAAATTTGCAATATTTATATCGATATACATATATCGAAAATTTGTAATAAAAAATCGCGAGAGATATCTATTATATAATGTAAACATATTTCGAGAAAGAGTAAAAAAACGAAATTATGGCATTTTTTTAATAAAAATGTATGTTTTTCGCAAAAAATACGTAATTAGCTAAATTAACAAATATGTTTATCAGAAAGAGCACAAAAATACCTTTAATTTGATATGTGATTTGTAACAAAAAATTCGTCTGCACATCATATTTGACTAAATCATATTAAAATGTCGTTTTATAAGAAAAAAAAAACGCCGCAGGCGAAAAATCGGCGATGTTTTATTCCAAATTTTCATTAGGTATACAGTCAACTATCGTTTTATATTAATCACCATAAGTCATCTAAAGAGTAAATTTTTACAGGGGTATCGAAATACCTTGATTCCAGCGCCATCTGCATATGTTTTCGGTAATTTTTTTGCAGTAGCAGTTCTTATGATACCATTTAGTAGGGCGGAAAAGTGTTTCCTCCATAATTTAAGTTCCTTCTGGACATCGGTCACTGTTGTTATTAGAGGAATTCGCCCTGGTCTTGAAACCTTCCGTAAGTCGCCTAACCCTCTGGTAAAATGTTAGGGCGTTTTCCTGTCGGCCAGCATCTCAAGCTCTTCGCACTCACTTATTTCGGCCTCTCCCTTCTTATTGCGGCAAATACGTCTCGCTTTCTTCTTCAGTTCCCTATAGCGGTCCCACATAGCGCGCGACACATAGTTGCCAACTTGGTGCTTTAAGCACTAGATTTAGTAGGTACATTTTGAAAATTAAAACGCCAAAAAAATTATTTAGTGCCTAGTGCCTTTTTTAGTGCTTTTTTTCTGAACTAAAATTACTTCGAGATAGTTAAAACCTGAAATAATTTGGCATATTTAAGGCTGTGGCAGCACTGAATTTACAAGAATCTACAAATTTAAATGGACTAAAATACATTCATGATCGATAAAAAGCTGAAGTTGCAAACCCACCTTGTTAAATTCTATTCGCGTTGAAAATGCTAGTACGCAAGTAAGTTAAGTATTTGTTTTTTTATTTTCTAATTATTTGTACAAATTTTGTTTTTTTGACCACCTGAGTAAAACACATCGTTTCTTGGTGCTGAATACAAATCTGGCCTCACAATTGCTCTATCACTAGAATTTTGAGATATCCTAACCTCAAAGTGCCAAAAACACGGTTTTTAGCGATATTTGAGGTTATATAATGAAAACATCAAATTATTTGCTCATTTCCAATTAGGACATCATTTAATGTGCAGTACTTCGGTATTATGTTATGAAAAAAGCATCCTTTGATTCAAAAAAAATTTGGTTCTTTTAGTGTGGTAAACGCTTTCTTTTCAAGTTTTTGGTGCTTTTTGAAAATCAAAAGATGGCAACACTGGCGCGACACTCCTCCGACGACACATTACGTTGTCAGTTGCAAAGTAACTTGCAGCCGAAGTTATTTCCAAGCGCCGAACTAATCCGAGCGACTGCTCTGCATTACACGTAACTTACTTTGTAAAGCGTCTCAGAGGTATGTCTGATACCAAATGTACATTCTTAATTCCTACTTACATAAGGCGGCGACGTCTTTGTTAAAGTAATGGAGATTCGGCAGGGAAGTGGTAAAGGCCGCCAGGTAAAGGGCAATACCTTACCAGCAACTTACACTTCAACCGGCTGTCCTTACCACGTCACTGACGAATCTCCCTTACTTTAACAAAGATGTGGCCGCCTTATGTAAGTAGGAATTTAAAATGTACATTTGGTATGAGACATACTTCTGAGCCGCTTTACAAAGTAAGTTACGTGTAATGCAGAGCAGTCGCTCGGAGTAGTTCGGTGCTTGGAAATAACTTCGGCTGCACCTTATTTTGCAACTGACAACGTAATGTGTCGTCGGAGGTGTTCATTTTGCGCTTTACTAGTAGATGACATTGGCCATGATGCCAATTTTGGTACTAAAAACTGAAAGAAAACATGGCTTACCTCGTAAGGTGCTTACCTATTTTCCCAGTGGGTATGAGCTTTACAACGACATAGACGTAGTACAGCGGCAGAAACGCTCCAGCTCTGAAAGTATTCAAGGGTCGCGATGCTGGTACCAGAGGAAGGCCTCCTCCGCGTTGGAAAGACCAGGTGGAGAAGGACTTGGCTTTACTTGGCATTTCCAATTGGCGTCAGTTAGTACAGCAGAGAAACGACTGGCGTGCTGTTTTGGACTTGACCAAAATCGCCTAGGTGGTTACAGCGTCAATAAAGAAGATAAAGAAGTTCTTATCATAAAGTTAGTTATGCGTTAATCCAGGTCGTTCGTAAAAACGGATTCTATAAATATCGCGACTACACCGTCATCTGTCGGAAACTAATTACCATAGATTTCATGCATTTACCATAGATTTCACATCAAATTCCAAAGACTTATGGTTCCGAAGTTATAGCTGATTAAAAAAATTTCACGGCTATAGAATATGTCAGCGCCTTTTTTTGTATCCCCTATGTTATGTCCGAGGTTACTGTCTAGTCGCCATCAATGTGATGTGATTTCATGTGATGTAATGTGAAGTGATGTGATAGTATGTCATGCCAAATCATGTCATATTATGTGATGTTCTGTCAAATGATGTCACATCATGTGTACTGATAACAAAATCGATAGTAACATCGATAAAAATATCGATAGCAAAAATGATAAAATTATCGATGACAAATTCCATAACAAATATTGATAGAAAAATCGATAGCAATATCGATACCAAAATCGATAAAAAATATTGATTATCTATAACAAAATCGATAAAATATCTACAAAAATATCGATTATTATATCGGTAAGTCCCGATAATACCGAAAATTCCGAAATAGTTCCCAGGTTGAGTCTGTGTCTATCTACATACATAAGTATATCCTTTTCTTTATAATTACCTTTATTTTAATCTTTCTTCCTCTATCTTCCTCTTTACTTTTATCGGTATCCTCATCCTCATCTTTTTCTTATTGTTGATCTTTTTTTTATCTTTATGCTTATCATTTTCTTCATCTACATATTCCCCTTCACCTTTGCCCTTATAGATCTTCATTTTTGCATTTATCTTTACGAATCTTTGTTTTGTTTTTACTTTTAACTTTGCCTTTATCCTTTTCTTTATCTATTTACGTACTCACCTCTACTTCCATTGGTGTATTGGTCTTTATCTTAGCCTTATTCTTTAACCTTTTATTAGCACGTTTTTGTTAAATTAATACCATTTGCATACATTTAAGAAGCACTTGATTCCGTCCCAACCATTTCCGTGTGCAATTTCAGTAGAAATTGCCGATTTACTCCCAACCAACCAACCGCCGCTAAAGAAGTTTCACTTAAAAAATATTGCAAATGTACCCAGTTATATTCCTTGGATTACCTTTGGCCATTCTTTTAACAAAATTTTCACTTTTTACACCGATCAACACAAAATTACGCAGGAATTATTGATTTCTATAAACAATTGAAGTTAGAGCTACCATGAAACACCATAAAACAGTCGAAGTTACCATTTATTAAAATTAAATAGGCTTCAAAACTTCATCGCGCATTCCGCGAAAAGCTCAATGGCCCTGAAAACAACGCAACGCGTTCAGAGAAAATTTCAGCAGCACTGAGAGCTTAACTGCTTGCGATCGCTGAACTGAGATACAAGGCATTACTTTACTTTTGGGTGTAAATTTTTTTGAAGAAATAAATATACGAGCATTTTTTTTCTTGAGAGCTGCAAACTGATTTAAAAAATGTTGATAGAGGAAAATTTCTTTTCAATTTCTTGTGGGTATATGAATTTTGCGTTTTTCTTGTGAGCTGGATGCAGCCCTATAATCCAAACCAAATGTGCATGTACATATGTATTTAAGTACATACATATGTAAATCAAAGCTTCGAAGTTTTTAATGTAGTTTCTAGCAAATTAAAATTTAGTATAAAAAAGTACTTTGAAGCCGCGAAGAATTCGTGTTGATTTTTAATATTTTTTTTTTCTGTCGCCTTTTGTGGGTTATATTAACAATAGCATTGTTACCTGAAAAATACTCTGTGCTTAAAGTGTAGATAAATTTTTCAAAGGTACTTCAGAAAACGGGCGTAAATGTTAACAAAATCCAGGGACCGTAACTGTTATGCTTTTTTTAAATGACACAATTAATAATTGTTATTTTTTCAACTATACTTTTTCAGTCAAAAGTGAAAGTTATGTTTTGACTTATTTTTTGGTAAAAAACGCAAGTTAAAATTTGACTTTTATTTTTTGGATCAACGTAAAAAGTTAAAATATGAAATTTATTTTCTTGATGAAAAATATAACTTAAAACTTTGTTATTTGTTTTTATTTATTTGATAGTAACCGTTAAAGGGCTGTCTTCAGTTCTCAAGAAAAACGCAAAATTCATATAAAATGATGCACAAGAAATAAAAAATACATTTTCTTCTATCAAACATTTTTAAATCAGTATGCCGCTCTCAAGGAATAAATTCTTTTACATTTATTTCTTCAAGAAAATTTACAGCAGCAGAAAAGTACTTTTTTAAGCAACAGAAATTATGAAAAATATTTTTTGTGATTTTTCTTTTTCTTTTTCTTTTTCTTCTTGTCATTCACCACTCGCGGTGAAAATCTATTTTGAAAGAAAGCACTTATACTTCTTTTACTTGTTTTAGTTTCATTTGCTTTTAATTTTTAGATCTTATTGTTTAAACAAGACAAATATTTTTAATTTCTTTTTTTAATTTAATTTGCTTTTTTGTTGTTATTAACACTTCCTTTTAACTTTTAGATTTTATTTTTTTTAAAGAAAAAGTAGGTTTTTTAAAATTTCAAGCTTAGGATCTAATTTCATAATTTTTTCTTTTTCAATTTAGTGTTCTTTTAATTCTTAGATTTTGGTTTAAAAAAGTAATTTTTTTTTACTCTTTTTTGTTTAACTTTAAATATTATTCTTTTTGATTTAATTTTTTTTTCCTATTTACGTTTACTTAATTCTATTGCTTTAAAAAGAAAAATAAATTTAATTTCATATCGACCTATCTCGGCAGTCAGTTCGAAAACGCCCTATCTCAGAAAACTTTTCAAGAATGCCCTACTTCAGAATTCGATTGAAGAATTTTTTGAGCTTCATGTGTAACAATGGGTGGACACACCCTCGGGGAAAGGCGGCGGATTGTTCCTTTGCTGCGATGCTAATGTGCAGAATATAATCTGGGTAATTGAGCTTACGCTATCTTACATTTTTCGGAATTCAGGTACATCAAATTTCATCTCGAAGGCAAATAATATTGGGGGACCCAACGTCGATTAAAGGGTTCGGGCAAAATATCAACGGTAATAGTTTGTGCTTAAAACCCAAGAAGGTGGTTAGACTAAGAGAAGAAAGTATACAAAGACAAACGACTATTTAGCGTCAGCTTTAATAACAGGTACCATCAAAACGACAGCCCTCAAAGTGCTATCCGCACTATTGACTTTCCTACCGATTGCCAATTACGCTAAAAAGATTGCATGGAATATTGTAATAAGACTTAACACTATACTAAACTGAAGGCAACAGTGTAACTACAACTGAAATCGCTAACTCAAGAAACTACTACTAACGCAAAATTCCTAAACCGGAATGTCTGTCGATAAGATCGCTGATAAATTTGCATATCGTCAGCTTTCCAGGACATTCCCACATTGAAGGTAATTACAGTTGGCCCTCATGCAGCCTGGCTAGGTGTTCGCTTAAACGATTTCTATATAAACTGTCGAGATATGGAACAGGAGCAAACCCCCGGCCCGGCTCTTGCTGAAGTAAGGCTCAAATACCTGGACAAGTACTTCTTCAAAGCACTTGATAATCTCAGGTACATGAATGTTAGAGACCTGAAGAATTTTGTTCCTTGCACGATCTGGTTTTAAGAGATTAGGGGTAAACACAAACTCCAACGCGGTAACACAAAGAGCCTAGAGCCTAAGTGTTTCCTTCTGCCGACCTTCTCTCTCTGAGCTCCAATATACTTTTTGTGGGCAATGCTCAGGAATGGCATCAATATTGTTTTTTGCCCACTGTAAAATGTTCGAATGAATTAACATTTCTGTAGAGCACGTTAGCAGCGCTTCAAAGGCTGCTGTTGGCTACAGCAGGAATGCGCGATTAAACTGATCGCTGATCGAGGACTCGAACATTACCACTTTATATAGAGAAGATTGATGCAACACTGGGCATTAAAGCTATGCGAAACCAGTTGGATAGCTGGCTGGCAGTGAAAATATACATATGTACAGAACTGACTGAAAGTATTCCAGAACACAGTAGTATTAATTGATTGGTGAAAAAATTTTGAAATGTTTGGAATTGTAAAAGATATTAAGTTTAATAGTGTTACAAGTAAAATAACCAACTAGGTATGGCCAGCATTTTGTGGAGTAGAAGCGTTGAAAAGTTTGCAGCAAATTATTGACAGTGAAAATGAAAACAAGTTTCGGCAGTTTCTTTCCTCATTGCCACGCTGCTATGCGCCCCGCTGTATCCTTGCCAAGGTTTTTTCTTTTTATTAATTTTGTGTTTGTTTTCTCTTAATTTTATTTGCAGCTAAAATTGGAAAAATTTTCATTATTTCGTATAATTGGCATAGACCATTCGTTTTATAATTTTCCATGAAAGAAAACTTAAAAAAAAATTTGCAAACAATTTACGCAAGCAGTGTGCAAAGTAGTGAAGTATAAAAAAAAATTTTAAAATAAAACGAGTGATGAAACGAAATGCCAAAACAAGTTGAGAGAATCGAAGAATTTCAATACGGCTGCGCGACAGCGAAGACGAAACGTGCGCGTAACAGAGACGAAACGAGTGCGAACGCGAACTGAACGAAACGGAGCGGCGCGTGTGTACGAGTGAAAGAGTTGCTAGGCTAGCAGCAGTGGAGGGAGAAGAAAAAGAGGTAGAATTGCAGTTGAGCAGCAACACCGCGGCAAAGTTTTGTCTTCCAGCGAAGGCCTGCACGAGTATGCGTGCGTGCGTGTGTGTGTTTGCGGGTGCTGTGGCAAAAAGTGCAACGACAGTCATCGCAGCGACAACAACTGCATAGCAAGCAAGTAAAGCAAACAATAACAATTTACTAGATCGATGCAAAGGAATGCACAATAAAAGCAAAGCAACAAAAAATAATGAGAAATTAAAAAAAGGCAACTGAAAAGACAGGAATTTTTCACGCGATAAGTAAAAAACAAAAAAGAAACGCAAATGTGTATGAAAGCGGCATAAAATGTAGCTGAAAGTGTGTTTGTGATTTGATGAAACAAAGCAAAATTTCATCACTCAAGTGTCACAAAACGTTAAAAATCAGCGAAAATTCTTATTTTGAGTTTTTTATTTTCTTTTTGGTAAAAAATAATTCTGCAATATTATTTATGTATTATGTTGTAGCAAATGTGTACTAACAATTTTCAGTTTCGAAAATTAAGTTTATTTTTTTTTATTTTTGCCGCCACACGAAAGTGTAAATAAGCTACGTTGTTGTTTTTCTTTATTTTGTTGCCAAACGAAAAAAGTTAAAAAAAGAATCCAAAAAATTCATAAAAAAAAATGAAATAATTAACCGCCTTTTTCATTTACCAATTAATTCACCTCGATTTCAATCAAATAAATCACATTCTTTCAATTTCAATCCCTTTTGAAATTATGAAGAATAACCAAACGAAAACCTCTAATAACAACAATAACACCAATAACAACAACAGGAACAGCAAAAATTTAAATTACCTAAATAACATCAATAAAAAATTCACCAATAACACGAAAGTCAGCAAAGCCACACAATCGACGGCCAGCAACAATAACGCTCATAACAACACCAACAACAGCAATAATCACAACAATAACAACGCTAAGCATAACAAGAAGAATAATAATAAACGCACTTTGCGTTTGGGTCGCAGCAATAAAATGGGCGGCCGCAAGGATGTGCGTCGCGGCCTCGAGCCACTCGAATTCGAGGAATGCATCGTCGATAGTCCAGAGTTTCGTGACAATTTGAATCGGCACGAAAAGGAATTGGATCACACTAGTCATCAGATCAAGCGTATCATCAAGGAGGTGAAAGATTTGATGAGCGCGGCTAAAGGTGAGTCGAAGGTGGAAACTTATTTTATGTCCTTTAGAAAACATGTGTTTAACCACAGAGGAATTCTCAAACAAAAAAAAAAAACAGGAGGAACTGTTGTCATTTAATACATTTTTTCATCTAAATAAATACTTCTTAATTTACAAATATTCAATAAAATTTGTAGACAATAGGGCTGTGCGATTAATTGATTACTCAAAATTTTAATTAATCATAAAGTAAATAACTCAGTTATTCGATTAATTAGAAGTTATGATTACTCAAAAGTTCAGTTACTCGAGTAATCAAGATTTTTGATTAACCAAAAACAAAAATATTTGAGTAATTTGCTTTATGATTAATCATCATTTCGAGTAAAATGAGTAATCAACATTTCAACTCTTTACATATGTATAAAGTAGTTAAAGTTCCTAGATACTTTTAAAACAACGTTTCTGTTTTCAAAAATTAAAACGAAAAATTTTTTTTCATATGGGGTATTCCATGAGTAAGTGAAACTTTGTGTCCAATTGTAGAGTAGCTTATTGAAGATGGAATGCTTGATGAATCAATGCTCAATACCTGAAATTAACGTTTTTTCAAAAAAAAATTTAGTTATATTATTTTATTACACTGTAAATACACTCAAAACTTCAACATTAGAAAAGTAGTTGAATACGACAACATATTTTAATATAGAAGGCTCTGCAAAATCAAGTATTCACAAAGTTATTATTTTTTTGAAGGGGGGAATAAATGTCTCGATCTTTCTGCGCCCCGAAGAAGCAATATGGCATTGAAGAAAAATAGGCATTTAAATTATATAATAGGATAAAATCACTACGGTTTAGCATGTCCAACCCGTGACTAAAAAGTTTTAAACTTCGTATTGCTTAGTTACTACTTTAGGGAGTTTTCTATAATTTCATAACTAGAGTGTGTTTATACTAAGCAGCCCTATTTCATTTCTTTTATTATATTATAAGTACCTACTTAAGAGATTTTGAAACGTTTTATCGTGTCCCGCCCGTGACAATCATTTATAATTTTTTTCTAATGATGCCTAACAATAAAAAAATAAGTTTAACGTTTCAAACCTATGTTTAATGCCACAAAACTCTGAAGTACAGGTTGACTAAACACCATAATACTGTTGGTGGGCTAAGCGATGTAGTAAAAAATTTCGCGTGGCCAGCTCGAAAAGTCAAGATAAGCATTACTATCTTAGAGACGCCAGAGAATTCTATGATGAGGGTTGCTTAACAACAATTAAAAGTCAATATTAACAATTACCTGAAAAGTTCCAACCAAGAAAATCTAGAAGTTCGCGAAACTTATAAATTCAATCCAATAAATAGCCTTTAAGTGACAAAGATATACATATGTATCTGCTTACAAGTATTCTAATGCAGATAACTTTTCGGATTAGACATCGATACACAAGATCTTTTCTGACGTTCTATGGTTTTAAGGAATAGCTAAATTTGAGCATGATTTGTCCATGAAATCAGTTTCCAAAAATACCTCAACTCGAGCCACTCTTAAGCCGGTTACTCAATGTCTGGTCAACACTAACAGCAGGTTAGACATCTCTATCGACGTGATAACAGTAGTCGATATACATGTTTAGCCTGTAGTTAGTATTAGTCAGACATACATAGCTATTCTAAACAAACTTGAAAATCATTAAGGCACATTCGAAATTTCGTTGCAATCAAATGCACCGTGCAGAAGTGCATTAGGAAAATGCATATAAAATTTCATGCGTTTGCAAATAATCCTTTCTTCCATGCATTTTAATACATCAATCTGGCGACTTCTAGCTTTCGTTTGGTATAACTATTGCCCCTAAAATAGATCCTGGGGTCAGCAGTATATCGTGCGTCTTACAATGACTCCACTGTCATAAAAGTAGGTCAATTGATCTTGTATTTGACCTCTAACATTTATCATACCTAATCTCTTTGATATGGATCTCACTAGAAGCTTCCTTTCATGAAGAAAATCGTACGTGTCCCACCCGTGACAAAAGTTGTCCCACCCGTGACAGGAGAATTTTGAATTTTTTAATAATAAACAAATAATTCTTATTATGGTTTGTGCTTTGTTGGGATTGCTGGTTCTTTTCTGTATAGTAAAACATCTAATCCAGATAGAAATGTTAAGTAAATTCACAGACTTTCCTTAAAATATATGTTCTCCAAAAAGCAGTGTCTTTTCTTTGTCCTACCCGTGACGGAAGAAACAGCTCAGAATTTTCCAATATAAAATCAAGTTGGAATATTTTTCGTATTTGGTAATAACTCGTATATTAGTGAACTAGGTGTAGCTTTATCAAAATGTAGAATTGCTTAGTACTTTATACTTAAATTAAAAAAGAAAAACTATTTTTGCTGTACAAATGTCCCACCCGTGACGATGGAATACCCCATATACAGAATGTAAAAAAGAAAATAAGCATTTTCCAAAGCAAACTCTTTTAACGAGCAAAATTATTTTTTTTGAGTACTCATATTTCAAGTAACTCGATTAATCATCGTTTTGAGTAATCAAAATCTTGATTACTCGAGTAATTGATTAACTGAATAATTGATTAACCAACTTGCTCGAGTAATCGAATAATCGCACAGCCCTAGTAGACAAAGAATTTTTTGTTTTTCGTCATGTCGCACGTTTATTAATATAGAGATGTAACTCAAAAATTACGTTTTTAGAGATTTCCTCATACAATTAATAAGCTTGATAAGTAAAACATGTTCAGCTTAACAGATGGCTAAACTTCCCAAAGATGGCGAAGGTATGGGTTTTTCAACTGTATTTTTGTATACCAACTGTATGAATTGTATGAATTTGAACTTTGATTGCGTTTTCCCACAAAATTTAAATTTTGAAATACTTCTGTATATTATTAAACGTGCGATGTACATATTTTGAATTCTTAGAACCTATCTATTGCCAATTTTTTTTTATACCAATACACCATAAATTTCAAGTAAAAAATTATATTTTTAACGAAAATATGCTGATGGATTTTTGATGTACATAAATAAGTAATAGAGAGAGTACCACTAGCTTTTGCATGACTTATGTGATGAAGTGGTCATATTGTAACTCTTTAATAATCATAAACGTAACTGTAACAAGTAAGAAAGTCTGAGTTCGGGCGGAGCCGAACACTAAATACCCGGCGCAAGTATTAAATATATGATTTTCTCCTTTCCGAAAACTACCGCGACATGGTAAGCCGGGGTGGTTTTATCCCTATTTTAAACATCTTCGATAGAACGTTGAGTTAGACATAATGAGATAGACTTATATATAGTCATATGTGGGCGATATCACGCCCATTTTCCAAAATTCCAAATAATGTTGCTCCTTTTCAAGGGATTGTTGTTAGTATCAAGTTTGATTAAATTAGCGTCTTTGAATCTCGAAATATAGAAGTTTCAAGCATTTCTGAAATTTACCGTTATATGAGAAGTGGCCGTAATTTTAGTCCGATTTCAGTAACTTTCAACTTTTTGCTTCTATGTGGCAAACACAATAACCTCACCGAAGAAGATTTCGTATTTCTCTAAATTACCGTCATATGGGAGGTAGGCGTGGTTATTGTCCGATTTTGCCCATTTTCGATGCCATCCGTCCTACATACGCTGAAAAGAAGTACACGTACCAAATTTCGTTAAGATATCTCAATTTTTACTCGAATTATCGTGTGCACAAACGGACAGACGGACGGGCACCGTTTAATCGATTTCTCTTTTCATTCTGATTTCATTTATGTATACATTTGTCTATATCTATCTCGATTCGTTTTGCCTGTAACAAACAACCGTTATGTGAACAAAGTTATAATACCCTTGTGCACAAGTGCGCTCGGGTATAAAAAAGGGAACTCGCTTAACCGAGCGTATGTTTTTTCCCAAACAAAACAATTTTTCCTCAACAAAAGTTTGAAGATCATGTAATTCTGAAAACTCATTAAGTTTATTTGAATCGCAAATTGTTTCAGTGGAACCCCCCCAGCACGGTGTAAGGTGATGATTGCGCTGCCGCTGCCGCTGCCGCTGATATTTCGAAGCGATTTCGCTTTCGCCTTTAAGCCACATTTAAATATCTCACACTTTGATTGGCTGTAATTTTTGAAATGTGTGGCAATTTATTTATAATTTGTTCCCTTTAATTTTCTCCTTTGTGGGCCTTAATGAAATGTAAAATAACTTTATTTACCTCAACCGCAAAAACAACAACAGCAGTATGGAGTAGAAAAAATATGAATAAAAAGCGTGTAGGAAAATTGTGCTTTGGTTTTATAGTCACAAACCGACCGACAAATATGCATCCAGTAAATAAACTTGCGAAATATTGAATTACAAAATCTTGCATAGAAATGCAATTGCAAAAACAATAACAATGGCAGCAGCAGCAGTAGCCACAGTAGTAAAACAAAACATACATATATGCATAACAACAAAAACAATTAACGTAACAGCAAATAGCGCATGCAAGCGAATTGTTGTGAATAATAGCAGCAGCAGCAGCAGCAGCAGCAGGAACAGCAATTGCAATAGCAATCAGCGCTAGTTAAATGCAACGCTGATTTTGCCACGTACTTACAGTGCGCTGTCATTGTACATTATTTGGAAACACAAGTAAAAACTTGTCTGAAAAATTTAGTTAAAAAAAATCTAAAAAAAAAAAATTATTTGTCAAATTACAAAAATTAGAACTTTTATCTAAATATTAATAGTTTTTAAATTTTTTTTTTTTTACAAAATTCACTTTTTGAATTTTTCTTATTTAATAAAATCTTTGTTCCACACGCTACTCAAAGTCACTCCGAGTTACACTTAAGCATTCCGCCAGAAAATTTACTAATAAAGCAAAAATGGCAGAAACTAAAACAAACATTTAGCGAACATTTCTTTGGAGCCTAATCTTAGCTAACAAATAAATGTGTTTGTCGAAGTTAACACAAAACTGTTCCATGTATTTTCGAGTAGATCGGGGAACTAACCTAA